GGCTCCAGGCTCTGAGCCATCAGCCCAGCGCCTGACGCGGGGCTCGAACTCACGGACCGCGAGATCGTGACCTGGCTGAAGTCGGACGCTTAACTGACTGCGCCACCCAGGTGCCCCTAAAAGACATTTTCTTAGGCTGAGCTATAGAGTACACCAAATTTCCTCCTCTCTTTCTAAGTCCTTTCCTGCCTCTGGTCCACATACACTTCTCATCCTCCCGCTTCCAAATGTATGGTAACACTGGCCACTTTGAGCCAAGCTGGAGGACCGGTGTTAAGTAAACAAACAGAAATGTTGTAGTGCCTCGTGGGGAGATTAGAGGCAGATGTTTATTTGTTTTGCCTTGATCTTTAAAAAATTTTTATTTTGGGGGCGCCTGGGTGGCTCATTCGGTTAAGCGGCCGACTTCGGCTCAGGTCCGTGAGTTCGAGCCCCGTGTCGGGCTCTGTGCTGACAGCTCAGAGCCTGGAGCCTGTTTCAGATTCTGTGTCTCCCTCTCTCTGACCTTCCCCCGTTCAAGCTCTGTCTCTCTCTGTCTCAAAAATAAATAAACGTTAAAAAAATTAAAAAAAATTTTTTTTTATTTTGTTTTTATACATTGATCTTGTACATAATGAATGATTGCAGATAGTAGTCATTTTTTCTCTGATGACATTAAAAAGTCTTAGAAAACAAAACAAAAAAGGGAGGGAGGAGAAAAACTCTTAGAAAACAAATACAGATTTTTTTAAAAGTAGTTTGTTAAAAAAGTTCGCAGACTTACTGGGCTCTAATGGAGTTTGACACCTACCCAGGTCAGCAAGAACTTCCGCCCCATCTCACCTGACAGATGCCTGTCTTACCTTTATTTCCGGTTGCGTTCCTAGCTGTCTGAGGACTTCAACAAAAGTTGTTTATTTAGCTTTTTTATTATAAGGGTGTTAGTGAATCTGTTTCTAGTTTTCTATATCCTAAGTGCTTGCTTTCATTTTTAAAGATACAGTGTTGGGTAACATATACTAGATTTACATGTTTTTCTTCTTTCAGTTCTTTTAAGACGTCTCTCTTGTTTTCTGCATGCACAGGCTCTGATCTCTTATTCATTACTCTGAATGTAGTGTGTCTTTTTTTCTCTGAATATTTTTTAAGGTTTTTCTCTTTATCACTGGTTTTTAGCAATTTGATTATGATGGACTAGTGTAGTCTCCTTTAGGCTTATTCCACTTGAGTTTTTTGTTTTTTTTTTTAAGATCTTTAGATTGATGGATTTATAGTTTTCATCAAATTTGAGAACATTTGGCCATTATTTCCTCACATTTTTTCTGACCTCCTTTTAAGTTCGTGTCTTTCAGCTACACATTGGTTAGATGGCTTGGTATTATTCTCAGAGGTCAGTAGGTCTGGTTGTTTTTTTCATACATTTTATGTATGTGCTTCATTTTGAATAATTCTTTTATTTTGTTGCAAATTCATTGTTCTTTTTTTTAAAAAAATTTTAAGTTTGTGTATTTAGAGAGAGACAGCATGGGTGGGAGAGGGGCAGAGGGAGAGGGAGAGAGAATCCCAAACAGGCTCCGCAC